GACAGCCGTCCTGGCCGATGAGTCCGCAGCGTAGCCCCATAAACACGCCGATGTCCCTGGCCCGGTGAGGGGGGCGAACGAGAGCCACGGAGCCTGAATTCGTTTCCCTCGGTGTGCGAACGCGTCGTGCGGACGTGCAGGAGGGTGCTCCGTCCCTGAAGCGCGGGACGGGGAGGAATTCGTACCTGCTCCCCCCGACTTCCCAGCACTCATCTCCTTTTGCAGCTCGCGATATCGATCGAACGCTCTTTCCCCGAAAGCCTGTTCGATCACCCACGCTGCCTCCAGCCGCTGCAGAAGCGCGACTCGCATCCCGGGAAGGCTTCCGCAGCACCGTGTCGGAGTCCTTGCTTATGTCCGCCCGCCGCCCGCCCGCCCTTGTTTAATGGATTGCTTCGAAGAGAGTGAAAATGAGGCTGGAAGACGGAAGGAGCGAGGCGAGGGAAGGGACCCCTCCCTGTTCAGCAGGCACCCGGCGGTGGGAAGGACCGGCACCCCTTGAGCAACGAATCCTTTTCCCCGCCGTTATTTGGACTCCAGACTTCCGTCAAGTTCCCAGGCCGCCCCTTCAGGGTCTGAAGGCTCAATTCTAGGCGCAAGTTTGGGCAAAAATAAGACTGGGAGTTGCCGGGCTTGTCTTTGTCTTAACGTGCGCAGACTCGACCCCTAGACAGTCCGTTTGCATCTTGCGCTTCCTTCTAAGAAATATCTGTGTTTGTGCCCGTGTTCCTCGCTCAGGAAAATGCGTGCAGCTCGCTGTTCATTTCCTCCAGAACAGCCTTGTTAAAACAGACCAGGCCTGAAATGGACTCTGACTTTTGTTATCTTCCTTCGTTCATTTGCTGGTTTGTTTTAAATTGCAGGACGCATTTATTTCAGCGAGTTAATTGGATTTGATGCAACAGCCGGAAGACTGTTGATCAGTCTGGCAAACCGATCGGTCCACGACACTAGTGTAGAAGAATCCACGTGTATATATGTTCTCATCTGTTTTATACACGTATTAGTTGGCTCCGAATCTAGTAATACTTAAAATAGACCTGCAGAAAGCACTGGTGCTGAAGTGAGTCGCCACAACCTTTTGCCCCACTGATTTCTATGCATCTACCCTTACCATGATTAAGGCTGCATCCACCTCTTTGTGTGTGCTTATGTGCGTGTACATACAGGATATGGGGCTGTACATGGATGGCTATTCTTGCCAAACTCAGGTTGAGCTGAAATCTTGATGACATGGCTGTACTTCACAGCGCAGAAATCCATCCCTTGCTTCTGAAAGAAGGTCACCCTGAAGCCCAGTGGGGCTGTCACTTTGTCGCCAGCCCTAACAGGGAAGAAAAGCAGTGGAAAGGGGAGAATTCCCTCTGCAATGCATTCGTGTGATTTTCGCGTGATGTGTTCCGCATTAAAGGTTAAATTCTGCCTTTCTGTTCAGAGTGTAGAAAGTAGGTCGTGCAGTGCACAAAAACTAATGAAACTGTTACTACGGACAGCAAGATACGCAAGCAATAAGAAATGTTGGCATGTGGTTTTCTGTTTGCTTACAGCAAACCACAATAAAATCTATGCCTTTTCTGTAAATACTCTTACAACCGCATATTTGTGCACATTTAGGCTTGTTATACCCCTTAATGTCATGATGGAACTTCAGCACTTTGCAGTACATAAATTACAGCTAGAAATTAATGTACACTTCCTTCATCAGCCAAGACTTGAGTCTTATCCTTACATTGCATTTGTGTCTTGCAAGGAACCCAAGGCAGCTTGCAAAGTTCTCCTCCTCTCTATTTTACCTTCCCAGCAATAACCCTGTGAGGTAGGCTAGGCTGAGAGTCCGTGACTGGTCCAAAGTCACACAATGAGGTTCATGGCTGAATGGGGACAAGAACCAAGATCTCCAGAGTCCCAGTCCAGCATGCATAACCACAGCACCACACCAGCTGTTTAAAGAAACACAAGTTTGACTGGATCTGTCCCTGGATGTTAATCCTTTTCTTTTCTTCTCTGGAACAAGCTGCATGTGTATTGGAGCTCCTTAGAAGGTGTCTTCTCTAAAGCAAGCCCCATTATGTTCAGTAAGTCTAGGCTCAGTTGCCCATTCCCTGCAGCTCGAACTTACTGACTGGTAACTGTTCCTCAGCTGCATACACAACTAACTTCGGGCTAGTTACTTCCCAGTGGTACTTTCTTCCATTCCAAACAATCATGCACAGCACAGTATTGCAAGGCTGCCAGCCTATCCACCTCTACCTAGGAATAAGCTTTACCAAGTGGTAAACGGGTGGTCAATGCGCAGACTGCATCGGAGATGCTGTGGAGCGAGAGAGCCTGGTTACAGCCGCTTCTAGCGCGCTTCCCGTGTCCGGCAAAGGCAGCTCCAGCCGCAGTGTGGGGGTGACCCTGATGCCCAAAGGCCAGTCGCACGAACACCACGGGGCTTGCTTTGAAGCGAACAAGCACAGGACTGCGCTGCAACGCTGCCCAGTCTTAAAAGCCTTCTTCTCTCGTCACCCTCTGGGGCTGCTGGACTGCATCCTACATCATCCCCAGCCAGCATCTGAGGATGCTGGGGGTGGCAGTCCTGCACCCCTGTAAGATGCCAGGTTGGGGAAGACAGAATTAAAGTGCCATGAGAAACACAGAGGACCTTCTTCGGGCCGCGTCCCTTCCCAGGGGCCTGCGGCTCTCCGAGTGCCCCGTAGCGCTTTCACCTGTCCGCGATGGGCAGGCCGGCGCTACCCAGACTTGCTCTGCAAGTTGGCGCTGCAAGGGAGATGAGGGGCTGGCGCTTCTGTCAAAGTCAGGCTGCAATGGAAAGTGGGAAAGTTTCCACCCCAGGGCGTTTTATCCGCACGGGCAGAAGACGGGGCTGCTGTGTCCATAAAGAGATGCAAATATGCAGCGCCTCTCGCATTGTTCCCGCTTAAGGTGAAAAGTTAAAGCATAAAAGCGATGGGTGAATCTGGTGGGGATGGGGGTGGAGAGGGGGCTCGTCGGATCTTCAAAGGGCAAACTGTGTCTCTGCCACGCAGCACGGAAGGGAGCACAGGGAAGGGTCATATCAAAGTGACATTTTCCTATCTGCTTCGCAGAGGCGCTGCGATTTGGATCGTGCTCAAATTGTGCCCGAAGCCGTCTGGGTTCACGGGGTTAACAAAATACATCAGGTCAACTTCGCAAAGGCCGGATTTTTTCTCTCTCACCCACCCAGTCTTACTGGGCCGACTGAAAGGACCAACCTGTCCAGGCCTCCTGGTGGAAGTGTCCTTCCCACCCCCTTCATCTGTGGCGCTTGGGAAGGTTCATTTCTGCTCCACTTTCACTGGAAATTGATCGAGAGCCAACGTATATGTTTTCTTAGGGGGGAAAAGAGTTTCAAATACAAAGAACATCAGAATATATTATCAGACGGATTGGGTTAATCCTAATCCAGAAAATCGTTAAGGGCTGGAATGGTATGAAATGGATGAGTAGTTCCTATGCGTAGCTTTATATTTTTTGACACTGGTAGTTTCTTTCTTCCCTTTGCACCTGTATCCTTGAACTCATTCAATGCAGTTGGATAAATACTAAAATCCATTCTGTTTAAAAATTGCTTAAACTTTACCTTTTTAAGGAAAATGGCTGTTTCCATGATTGTATGGCTAAGCTCTGAGAAGGAGGTAGTTGATGGAAATGAACTGATTCATCAAAAATCAAAGGGAATTGCCTTATGCAGTGCGTAGCCTTCATTAAAAAATAAAATAAGCTAAAAGAAAAACCGATGGTCTATGATAAACTTCAGTTTTTCCTGAGTGTAATCTGGGCTTTTCCTAGATGTGACAAGGAAAAACACACAGAGACGCAGAGACACGCTTCTACCTGATAGACGACAAAACCCTAAAGATATTTAGATAATCCTTTCACGTTCTAAATTCACTTTTTGAATGCTTTTGCTGCTGCTGCTGCTGCCTACCTTTCCTCCTTCTTATCCGGGATTAGTCTGGCAATTGGCGATTAATGAGTAAACGGCTTTAAAATGAGGAGGAGGAGGAGGAGGAGAAGAAAAAGGAGGACGAGGAAAGAAAAGGTCGTTCAGAACCCATGAAGAGGCTCTGGCCAACCTTCCTCTAATGCCAGAAGCCCTTTTCAAATTCACAAGGAGGGTCGCGCTTACTCTCCCGTTCAAACCGAGGAGACCCAAACGTGCTGCTCTGGGGCTGAAGACATCTCTTTTTAAAGATATTCATCCTCCGTTCCTTTTGGAGGCCTCGGCTGGTTGTTACATTTGTCAGCTTAAAACCTGAAGTCGTCGCTGGTGCGCGTGTGCGTGTGAGTGCGCACACATTTTTCTCTTGCTCTCTCTTTCTAAACCGCTTTGTCCTTAGGTGTTTTCCTGCTCCCTCCCCTCCCCTCCCCTCCCCACTCCTTTTTTCTCCTTTGCAAATTCTTCGGATTCAGTTCTTTGAACCTATGATTGGAGGTTAAAGTGCACCAGGTTGTAATGAAGAAGGAAGCTCTTAAACAATAAAGGCTTGGATATGTCGCTGTGATCAGGTCGCTGCCCTCTCCCTTATCTTTTTAAATGCAAATCTTCTTCGGAGGTTTGTAGCGGCTATATTGCCAGGCTCCCTGCCCCCTCCCTCCCTCCCTCCCTGGCCCGCTCCCCCTCCCCCCTCCCTCCCCCCCCCCTGCCTGCCTGCCTCCACGTCACCTGCCTCCGGTCGTGGCCCCGGCAGGGCCATTCCTGCGAGCGCCGTGTCAACAATCGCTTGCCCTCCCAAGCGCTGCGCCCGCCCGCCCGATGGAGCCGGCGCGCTGAAGGTCCCGGGCGAGGCAGCGCCGCCGCGTCCGCACCGCCGCTGCGCCCGGAGGCAGCCTCAGCCGCCCGGTGGGAGCCGATCGCCGCGCCGGCGCCGGCGCCAGCCCGCCCGCCCGCCCGTCCGTCCCCCGCCGGGGGTGGGCCGCCTGTCGCCGGCCCGCAGCAGCATGTGGAGGAGCGCCGGTCGCCTCCGGCCACCATGTACGTGAGCTACCTGCTGGACAAAGAGGGCCCCTCCATGTACCCCGGCCCGGTGCGCCACACGGGGGGGCTCAACCTGGCGGCGGCGGCGGCGGCGGCGGCGCAGAACTTCGTGGGCGCCCCGCAGTACCCGGACTACGGCACCTACCATGTGCCCGCCGGGATCGGGCTGGACAACGCGCAGTCGCCTGGGTCGCCCTGGCCGGGCGCCTACGGCGCGCCCCTTCGCGAAGACTGGAACGGCTACGGGCAGGCGGGCGTGCCGGGGGCGGCGGCGGCCAACGCCATGCACGGACCGGCCGCGGCAGGCTTGGCCTACAGCCCCGCGGGAGACTACCACCCGCACCCGCACCCGCACCACCTTCCCCACCACCCTGCGCAAGGACCTCCGGCGGCCCCCTGCGGCGTCCCGCCTTCCGGGGGGCTGATGCAGTCTCTCAACCCGCCTCCCGGTTCGGAGCAGCTTTCCCCTGGCGGCCAGAGGCGGAACATCTGCGAATGGATGAGGAAACCCGCGGCGGGGGGACCTGGTAAGGGGGCGGGTGGGGTAAGGTCGGGATGGGGCTGAGCAGAGAGATCCAGGAAGAAAGGTGCCGGGGCGCACGCCTGGCGTTTGCCCGTTGGCAGGGGGAGGGGGAAATCAAACACCGCCCACCCTGCAACCGCTTGCACGCTCTAAAACCGTGGGAGACGCTTGGTCAGCGGGGCGGCTCGGGCAACGCACTCAGCACCAGCTCCGGGGCCAACCGGCCTTCGCTCTTCTCTCCGCGCCCGGAGAGGAAGCGGGGAGCGGGGCTCGTCTTAGGGAAGGAAGCCGTCGTGCGGGCTGGTGTTCATGCGCATCGGCTCCAGGCTCGGTGTCTCCTCCCCGCCCCGCCCCGCCCCGCCGGTGACCTCTCACTCACTGCTTCCCGTCCGTGTGGGATCAGGGCGCTGGGGGCGGGGGGTCCCAGTCGGTGTGAAGGAAACAGCCATCCGTCTTGCAGGGTCTTCTGGAAATACCCTGCTGAGCTGAGCCCGATCTCAGCCGGGGACCTTGGAGAAGGCCGCGCACATTGCGCAAGCCCGGAGATAACAGCGGGCCGGTCCCCAAGTCCTTGACGCCAAAAGGGTCGGATTATCCAGACGTGCCGCGGTCGGCTGCGCGCTTGTGGCTTTTTGGCATCCGCAATCCGCTCCGCTTAACACAGGCTTCCCCGGAGTAAGTCCCGCTGGCTTATTCCCGAGTAGGTGCGTGCAGCTTCCGTCTCCGGTTTGGACCCCTCTCTCGAGGGTGCCCGCTCAGGAGGGGGCGCCGCGGCAGTCCCGGGCGGGTCTCCTGGAAACGAGCGCCGGGCACTTCGAGGGCACTTCTTTCTGAGGTGGAAGGCCCGGGACTGGAGCTGCAGGCGCCCTCCAGTTCTGCGCAACTCACTCGCTCCTTGGCTGTGCGGAGGGAAGGCTCGTAAAACATTCCGTGCGCGCGGAGGCAGTTTTCAAAGTGAAGGGCCACGGTTTGGCTGGTTTACCCAACCGGGCAGTCTTTCACCAGGAGGAGTGGGGGCAGCTGGAGAGAAAAGTATCTGTCGCTTTCGGGAAGGTCTGGGGCAAGGTTGCAATCAGCAAAGAAACAAACAAATAAGACTGCAATCCACAAATTACAATCCACAAAACTAAAACCCCGGCCAGAAACGGCCCCGTGATAGGATTTCTCCCAAGGCGAGAGTCGCGGGAGGCGGCGAAATCAACGAGCATTTTTCCTCAGTGAAGCGTGAAATGCAGTATGCGGAGAGGGAGGGGGCAACCTCGTCCGTATTGATTTGTGGACTGGAGGTCCAGCGTTGTTTGCGTTTCTCCAAGACCTGTGCGGAAGTAGCAGGGAAGTAAATCACGTGGAAAGCAAAACTGCTTATTTCCAAGCGGAGCGGGTTCATTCAGGAGCCTGGCTTTCATTCCAAAACTTTTAACGCAGTCACATGGCACATACGATCAGCTGGATTAGCAGGCTGCCATCCGCATTGTTGGCGCGGCCGCGACCAGCGTGCCAGTTCTAGCTTGGTGGATTGCTCGGGGTTGTCCTGTAATGAAGCTGGAGGCCGTGCAAAAGCTGCGCAACTAAACCGAGACAGGCTGATTTGTCCCCCAAGCCGGTTAAATCAAAGCAAGGGGCACTGAAACTGCCATTCTTAAGCTCAGGCAAGCGTTCCCTCGCAATGAAGAGGACTTCTTTTCTCTTTGCCTTCTATCTTGGGAGGTCAAGTCCCATAGCTGGACTGAAATTTGGGGCGGCAGAAAATGTCCCCTTGAGACACCTGATTTCAGATTCCCCACTTTTCCTTCGGTGGATGGTTGGAGGCATAGGGTTTCCTCCTGTCTCAAGCACTTTGCATATATTATCGTAATCTATTATATCGTCATAATTACAACAACCCTGTAAAGTAGGCCAGTATTACTGCATGGCAGTTTTGGAATCTTGGCAGGCTATGATTACCCCCTGGCAACATTCGTGAATGCCCCCATAAAAATAGTTTCATGGAACATGGAGACCTACTTTTTCTTGTAAGTGGAAATTCTATTACTATTCCTTATTGTTATTGATGATGATGATGAGATAAAAGCAGAAAAGAAAGACCTGTGTTTTAGTCAGGAGTGCAAGGATAAACAATGCGCAAGGGGAGCTCAAAGGCATAATTAAATTGGATTAAACGAATTTAGATGCTGCCATCCCAAACATAGTTTGAGTTGCGGACGGGAAAGTCCCGCTCAGCTCTGCAGGAGTTACTTCACGGAACTTCACAATCATTAGGTAAAAGCGTCGGATCGTGGCCTCGGTGGGGAAAAAATCTGGCCAGCCTGGTGCCTGCAGATACTTTGGACGACAGAGCAGTCCCAGCATGCCAGACTGAGGCGATGGGAGAGGCAGTTCCGCTGCACCAGGCAGAGGAAGGGTGCAGGCCGGGAGCAGGACACGCTCTGCCAGCTGTCGCTGCGACTGAGAGCCGGGCCAGAATCAAAGCGAAGCTGGACGAGATCCGCGCGGGCAGTTCCTCGGGCTTTCCTAAATAGCTCAGGAAACCCTTCCGGGGCGAGGATCAAACCCCCGGAGGAGGAAGGGCCTTGCCTGATGCTCTTTTCTCGGGTGATTTTTGAACCCGCGGGACCGCGGGGAGCGCGTGCATGAAGTCCTAAGAGCCACGCCCGATAACTACCACCAGGAACTTGTTTCAGCGTAAACTCAGGACATTTGCAGTGACTTCCCGCTTCGTTTGACTAATTCCGGAGGCCTCTAGTTTAGGGGTTTGGATAGTCTGGGGACCTTCGCTTTGGAATCCGGGGTGCATTTATCCGAAGGCAAAAGAAACTGTGGAGACGGGGATTCCCAGCTCTGAAAGCACCAGAAACTCTTTGTTTGTTCTCCATTCCCAGTATATAAAACAAAGCCATTTAGGTCCGCAACAACTGAACTAGTAATATGCTTGGCCGCGCGATCCACAGCGAACGCGCCCAGGAGACAGGCTGAAAACCAGCCTGCGCCTTCCCTCCAAGTCAGTTCCTGCTTAGAATTGGAGCGTAGACGCCCATTCAGGATCTCTGTCCTTACACAGGATTTTAAAAAATGAAAATAAAAAAAGGATTTTAGCATATACTTGGCTATTCTGCTGCAGTTTAGTATGTAAATTCTCCTCTTACCGGGTGCGAAGAAAACCCATGTTTGACGTTCCGTGAAAACCCATGGAACATACCTCGTGCAATGCTTTTCCGTTGTGCTGTATGTATGTGCTGGGAGTGTAGCTAGTATATTTTACGTAGTGGCGTTTTGATGTATAAGCTATAAGGAGATACAGCCTGTTCAGAATTTTGTGAATGAAGGATTCTTTTATATATACTGGACCCGAATGAATGGATACAAATGCGTATACGAGAGGAATAGGAATAGCACACGTACCGGTAAGGTCGAGGGCCTCGACTCTACCCTTTTCAAAAGGGCATAGAAAATGTTGGAATATGGGCTTGGTGCCACGTGTGAGATCCTGGAAGCATCAGCTTTGGGATATGCTCTGAGACCTGAATTTGGGAAGGGAACCCCATTCGTTCTAACGGTATTTGTAGTCTTCTGATAATTTCCGTGCTAGTTCTAGGGAAGGCTCGTATCTCGCCTCGAGATGTCCTGGCGAGCAAGCGCGGCTGACCTGACCGATCCTGGCTCCGAAGTTCTCCAGGGCACAGTCCCGTTAAAGAGCATGGGGGCTTGCCAGTGCTTCTCTGAGGCTCCCTCCACTTTTCTGTTAGGCTTGCGCCAGAGAACTTCCCACTGCGTAAAATTAAGACCCACTAAATTCTTTGCAATTTACTCTCCGGGGAAAGCGCTTGTGTGTAAGATGAACAGCCCAAAGCTGCAGAAGCAAAGGGGCATTTAGGAAGCCGGCCTTGGGAGTCGGCTGGACCCTTGACCAAAAGTGCTGCGAGAGGGGAAGTCTCGTTGCCGAATGCACCTAGGCGGTACACCCACGTGGGAGGATGGCATGACAGGACTGCTTGCCGGGTGGCGTGTTCCTGCGTGCAAAAACAGGCTCTCCGAGTGCAGAAAACCGGCAGGTCGCTGAGGAGGGAGGCTGCCTGACCTTCTCCCATGAGACCCTGCGTAGACCGCTCTGCCTGAGAGCGCAGGCCGGTGGAGCAGGAGCGAGGAAGGCGTGGTCCTCGTGTTGTCTGTCGGGGCTTCGCTGGCCAGGCGGAGTCGAAATCGAGCCGCACCTGGGCTCCCCATTCTGACCAGGGAGCTGGGCACGGGTTCAGGAGGCTCTGCCGAGCGCAAACAGGCTGATCTGGCGGCCCGGAGGGTTCCTCTTCGGCTCGCTCTTCCTCCTCCTTCACGTAGCACCTTTTCTGGGTTGAAAAATCGGAGGCAGCCGCCCCTGTGGCTGTCCCCGCACTGCGCACTGCCCCCTGCCCGGGATGCCCGCCTTGGCCCGCCGCTTGCCGGGCGATGCTCGGGTCAGCTTCCCGGTCGAGCTGTGGCCGACCTCATCCTCCGTGGAAGTGCCGGCTTTTGCTGCCGCTGCCCGAGGCCTGCTTACAGCCACTTAAAAGATTTTTATAACCAATTACAGTCCTATAAATCATTGGCCGGTGCGGTTGGCTGCGGATTGATTTCTGACTCACTGGGCGCGTATCTTTACCATCACACCTTGGGCCAGCCTCTTGCCGCTCGCTGGCCTGCTCTCGATGGTCTTCATACTAATATTAATAATAGTGCTGCTGATGCCAATAATGCCAACGTCATTACGGAGCTCCGCGGAGAAAGGGCGACCCCCTGGGCGCGCCTAGGCTGCCAGGAAGTTCGGACCTGGGACCCTGCCAAGAGCCCCTTTCCCCGACTCCGAGGGCGAAGGATCTGCCCTTCAGAGCCTGGGAAACGGTCCTCTGCAGGGTCAGAACCGGAGCGCCCCGGAGCGAGGCCTCCCTCGCCTCTGGCTGCAGCCGGGACTTGAGAGCCAGGAGCTGCACAGATGGGACCGGGGAGAATCCTCTGCTTAGAATAGACCCGTGA